TCCCAGCTACTTGGGAGGCTGAGGTGGGCGAATTGCTTGAACCTGGGAGGCGGAGGTTGCAGGGAGCCAAGATTGCACCACTGTTCTCTGGCCTGGGCAACAGAGTGAGACTCTGTCTTAAAAAAAAAAAAAAAAGAAAGAAAAATGAAAGAAAGAGAGAATAACATCTGTCATTTGTTGAGTCCGTACTATGTGCCAGTCATTGGCTGAGTCCTCTGGAGACGTTATCTCACTGATAACTTGTGTCATGCTTTGAGCATGGTGACCTGCTCACCCTTACTTTAGCATGTTTACAGCGCACCTACAAGGTGCAGGCCCTGACCTAGCAACTGGGGATACCACGGTAGACAAGATAGACATCAACCTTGGAGCTGACTTATAGTCTGATGAGGAGATGGGTGCTGAACAAATAACTGCATAGACAGACAAAATAATCAGAAATGTTGAAAACTGCTAAGAGGGAAACAGGCATACAGTGAGTCCTAAAGAGAAGAACAAGGGGACCTACTTTGGGTATGGAGGTCAGGAAAGACCTCTTAGAGGAAGTGACCATTAAAACTAAGAACTGAGACAGGGCGCAGTGGCTCACGCCTATAATCCCAGAACTTTGGGAGGGCGAGGCGGGCGGATCACCTGAGGTCGGGAGTTCAAGACCAGCCTGGCCAACATGGAGAAACCCCGTCTCTATTAAAAATACAAAATTAGCTGGGCATGGTGGCACATGCCTGTAATCTCAGCTACTTGGGAGGCTGAGGCAGGAGAATCGCTTGAACCTGGGAGGCGAGGTTACTGTGAGCCGAGATCGCGCCATTGCACTCCAGCCTGGACAGTAAGAGGGAAACTCCATCTCAAAAAAAAATAATAAAAAATAAGACCCAAAAAATGACAACAAACCAACCACACAACAAACTGCAAGAAGAGCGTGTACATGGCAGGACTATTGTGAGGATTCAATGAGCCTGCATGGTAAGGGCACCCACGCTGGGTGTCTGTCCACTTGGAAATGGGTCTCTTCCTTTCTGGTGAAATCCCCAGATTTTGCCCCTGGGGATCCTAGGATTGTCAGGATGAACGCTCCCTACTCCATAATCCTTCCTCTTTCTTGTTTTTGGTGTGTTTTTTAGAGACAGGGTCTCACTCTGCTGCCTGGGCTGGAGTGCAGTGGCGCGATCATGGCTCACTGTAACCTTGAAGTCCCGGGCTCAAGCAATCCTCTCACCTCAGCCTCCTGAGTAGCTGGAACTGTAGACATGCACCACTGCATCCGGCTGATATTTTAATTTTTATAGAGATGCAGTTTTGCTGAGTTGTCCAGGCTGGTCTTGAACTCCTGGCCTCAGGTCAATCTTTTGTCTCTGCCTCCCAAATACTGGGATAACAGGTGTGAGCAACCTGTTGGCTCACAACAGGCATGCCATTAACTCACCATTGATTCCATTTTATAGACAGTGAACCTGAGGCCCAGAGAGATTAAGTAACTTTTCCAAGGTCACACAGTTAGAAACAGCATAGCCAGAATTCACACCAGGCAGTGTCTTTGGCATCTGCCATTAACCGCGATGCCATACTTTCTCTAATATAGTAGTGTTATCATTGCTATTATGAAAGCTGCAGGCATTTAATATTTATTGCCAATTGTCCTTTGGAACCAAATGCTCCTGGCTCAGTTTCCAGGCTTCCCCAGCCCTCTTGATTATACTGACTCACAAGAGGACAGCAGGAATCAGTTCAATGAAAAAGCCTCAAGTTGCCAACAGCCTTATCAACCCCAGACCCCATCAGGCACCTGAGGTCTGGGACTGAGCTGTCTTGGCCGGAGGACACAGAGCTCTTGTCCAGTATGGCAGCCACCAGGGATGAAATGGGGGACCTGGATCCTCCCTGCTGTGGAACAACCCAGGAGAAAGCAGGGGGCTCAGACTCAAGTCCCAGTCATGCTAACCTTGGTTAAGTCTCTTTTGTCACTGGGCCTTACCTGTCACGTCTATGAGTTGAGGTAAGGACCACCAATGCTGTCTACCTCCCTTGTCCCCGAAGTCTTTCCCCAGAGGCCACCTTGGTGGCACTCCACAGCCAAATCCCTGGTGCCAGGGCTGGGACACCTCGGGCTGGCCCCTTGGCTGGTAGAATGCCCAGCCCTGCCCCTCTGGCAGGCAGAACCTGCTCTCACCCCTCAGGGTCCCCAGCACAACGCTTTCTTCAGCAGAGCACCCTGAATTCAATCGACATTCCCAGGAGGGCCTAGACCACGCTCAGCCCCTCTCACTCCCACCTGCTCAGCTTGGACTTTGCCCAAAGCCTCCCAAACTCCTGCAGCCTCTCATTCACACACACACTGAGCTCCAGGGGCCCCAGCTGGCCCCAGACCTCTTACCTCCCTGCCCAACTATCTCAGACCAACGTGGCCCCAGCTCCTGCCCTCCAGCCTGCCCGGGAACCAGCTCTGTCCAGGAACCAGCTCTGTCCAGCTTCAGGCAGCTTCCGGCAACCTTGGCCCCTCCTCCTTTGTTAAAGAGAAAGCTCCAGACCCTTCGCCTCCAGGTGAAGATGGAGGAGGAGAGGGGATGAGGGCAACCCTCACTGCTTTCCTGGGCACTGCCTATGACTGACTCATGCACCACCCTGTCTCATTTGACAGATGAGCAAACTGAAATTCAGAAAAGGGAACTTATTTGGCCAAAGCTTCCCAGCCAGCAAGGGGCAGAGACAGCCTTTACCCCTGGCCCTGGGCCATCTCTTCTGGGATGTAGGCATCTCCATATCTTCTCATTTTAGGTCTAGTGATTGTCCCGGATGCCATCCACTTCCCCTGAGCCACTGTTGGGGTCAGCTTAGGTCTGAGATGGGAAAACAAGGACAAGGAAACTTTTTTTTTTTTTTTTTTTGGAGACGGAGTTTCACTCTTGTCACCCAGGCTGGAGTGCAGTGGTGCTATCTCGGCTCACTGCAAACTCCGCCTGCCAGATTAAAGTGAGTCTCCCACCTCAGCCTCCCGAGTAGCCGGGATTACAGGCACCCGCCACCATGCCCAACTAATTTTTGTATTTTTAGTAGAGACAGGGTTTCACCATGCTGGCCAGGCTGGTCTTGAACTCCTGACCTCAGGTGATCTGTTTGCCTCTGCCTCCCAAAGTGCTGGGATTACAGGCATGAGCCACGCACCCGGCCAGGGAAACAATTATTATTTGTCACATGGGAAAGGTATATTTTTGTCTGAAGCACCTCCCCGTCTCAAATATTTTACACACGACATGAGAACCCAAGCAATCATTTGCTACTCAAATGAATGACTGATCATTCATTCATTCAATAAATATTTATTGGACACCTACTACGTGCCAATCCCTGGACCTTTGGCCTCAAACCAAATAGCATGTCCTCTGCCTTCACAAAGCCCTCAGGGACGTTAGAGAGTAATTATTAGTGCTATCAGATGTTGGCAGCTAGCGGGGTGGGGCAGAGCTGTGGAACCCAGAGCAGGCACCCCGCCTGGCCCTGGGGGGCTGGGAAGGCTTCCTGGAGGAGGGGAAGTCTGAGTGGAGCCAGGAGTCAGGCACAGGGAGTGCAAAGGTCTGGAAACGAAAAACATGGAGTGTTCCAGGGTCGGGGAGGTATCCAGTGGGACTGGGAGGGAGAAGGCAGGGGTGGGGAAGCAAGTGGGGTTGGGGCTGGAGACATGAGCAGAGATCAGAGTCCACAGGGACGCCTGTACCAATCCAGAGTTTGGGCCTTACCCAGGGGCACTAGGGAGCCACAGAAGACTTTAGGTGGGGGGCATGACATGGTCAAATTCATGTCTTGTCTCTGCACCATCTCACTGGGTGAACCTGAGCAGGTGATGCCCATCTCTGGGCCTCAGTTTCCCCATGGGGAAAGTGGGTCCAGGAAGACCTGGCAGCCCTTCTTGGGCTGTTTCTGATCCCCCAGGTTTGATGATTAACTCTCAGCTACTTCGAGTTAGATGGAGCTGCTTGGCCGTGATCCATAATGTGGACTCTGGCAAGTTAATACCCATCCTCGCTTTGGACACACACCCATCCTTGTCGGGTGCCTTGTCCTGGACTGGGCACTGGGGACACAGAGGTGATACAATCCAGTTTGTGCCTTGAAGTGGCCCCCAGCATGGAGGGGAAAGGAAGACACCCAATTCGGTGGCAACTCTAACACCTCCTAAGATGACAGAGGGCAGAAAGTCCCCATAGGGTAGCAGGGGGTGGGGCAAGATCAGGTAGAGTAGGTAGAGACTCAGCACACAGCTCAGGCTTTGACAAGAAGCAGACTAGCTGCATTTAATGCATGTCTACTGTATACAAGCAGATGCGTGCTGTCCAGCATATCCCACACTGTTTGTTTGTTTGTTTGTTTGTTTTACAAACGAGGTCTTACTGCACTGCCCAGGCTGATCTTGAACTCCTGACCTCAAGCAATCCTCCTACCTTGGCCTCCCAAAATGCTGGGATTACAGGCAACAGCCACTGTGCCCAGCCCCCAAAGATTTTTTAATAGTTGGTGATTTATTTCTGTGTGCATTAGGAAAGATATGTGTATGTATGTAGGTGTATATATATGTGTATACATATGTGTGTGTATGTACATGTAAAATATCAGACCCATAGTTTCATGGGCATGATGGCTTAGGAAGAAGCTAAGGTAGGTATTAAAATTTAAAAATGGAGCCTCCTTAAAAAATACATTAATTGACCAGGCATGGTGGCTCATGCCTGTAATCCCAGCACTTTGGGATGCCGAGGCGGGTGGATCACCTGAGGTCAGGAGTTCAAGACCAGCATGGCCAACACGGTGAAACCCCATTTCTACTAAAAATACAAAAAGTTAGCTGGACGTGGTGGTGGGCGCCTGTAATCTGAGCTACTTGGGAGGCTGAGGCAGGAGAATCACTTGAACCGGGGAGGTGGAGTTTACAGTGAGCCGAGGTCGTGCCATTGCACTCCAGCCTGGGCAACAAGAGCGAAACTCTGTCTTAAAAATATAGATATAAATATATATTTTTTATATATAGATATAAATATATATATTTTTATATAGAGACATAAATATATATAAATTATTAGTAGTAATAATAGTAGTAGTAGTTTCTGGCATGAACAAGCAGCATGCCTAGTAGTTAAAACACAGACCTACAGCCAGGCTCTGATACAAATACTTGCTCTGCCACGTTCTGTGTGACCTTGTGACCTTGAGTAAGTCACTTAACCTCTCTGTGCCTTGTTGCCTCAAATGTAAGATGGGGATAAAATACTACTTCCCTAGTACAGTCAATGTGAGGATCAAATGCATTAATGCAGGTAAAATATTAGAACAGTAGTTAGTGCTCTGTGTTCGCTGCTGTTGCTTTTGTTTTATTGTGTTTTGTTTTTTGAGACAGAGTCTCACTCACTCTGTCACCCAGGCTGGAGTGCAATGGCGCAATCTCGGCTCACCGCAACCTCTGCCTCACGGGTTCAAGGGATTCTCCTGCCTCAGCCTCCCAAGTAGCTGGGATTACAGGCTTGCACCATCACACCTGGCTAATTTTTGTATTTTTAGTAGAAACAGCGTTTCACCATGTTGGCCAGGCTGCTTTCAAACTCCTGACCTCGAGTGATCTGCCCGCCTCGGCCTCCCAGAGTGGTGGGATTATAGGCATGAGCTACCGCGCCCAGCTGCTATTGTTTTCTATTACTATTATAAAAGAGGTGATGGGACAATATGGCAAAAGTTGCAAAGGTGGCACGTGAATGTTCGAAGTACCATGATGTCATTATATTACAGAATGTTAACAACTCCCTGGAAAAGTATTATAATAAACCCTACATTGTGGAAATAGGACCAGAGAGGCCAAGTGGTTTTCCCAAGGTCACACAGCAGCGGCAGAGCCAGGGCTCAGACCCAGAGGGACCAGGCTCCAGAGCTCCTGGCTTGGGTGAGGAAGAGGATGGGCTGGAGAAGCCACGTGGCTGCATCAGAGAGCAGATGAGGCTGGAGAGGTGGGCCAGGTCACTGATCCGTCCCCACCAGAGCCATGTTCGTCAGCCAGCCCCTGTCCCTGACACCTTGGGCCGCCAAACACCCACCCCAGCCAGTCCCCTGGGTTATTCATTAAGCTTCATTACACCATCCTCACCCCCCGCTGACCTTCCTGTTCCCGGGGCAAGGGAACTGCGTGAAGAGGGACGAAGTCTCTGACGCCTGAGATTAGCCTTTCCTGATTTGCGGATTTAACCCTGGACTCTTCGTCATACGCTCCCAAGGCTGAAGGCTCAGTTCCACTAAATGGCGAAAGAGCTGAGGCTCAGGCAGCCCCAGCTAGTGAGTAATAACTGTGCCAGAATTTGGGTGCAGGTCTCCCAACACCCAATACAACAGAGCATCTCAGCTAAGCTCTCAGACTTATCAACCCTGGCCAAGATGACACATCACTGGAGACCAGAGATGGTCTCACACTGGGAGGTCACACTCCCCCTGGCTGGAGCTGGGGCACACCGTCCTCTGTAGAGGCTCTACACGTCTCACCGTCCTGACCTCTCCCTACTGCAGCCCCATCACCGAACTGCCCCTTGGTCGGCCCCTTGTCAGTGTTTACGTTTGAAACCTTTATACAGAGGAACTTTCTCTCTGTCCTCTTGCCCTTGAAAAGGAAAGGAATCGGTGATCAAGGAAGAAGCTGAGGCACAGAAAGGTTAAGTAACTTGCTCCAGCTTGCCCAGCAAATAGGCCATGGGACCAATCTTCCAGGGACCCCACCTCCAGCCTGGATGCTCTTGTCCCAAGAGACAGAAATTCATAGCCACAGCGTCTGAGCTGAAAGAACTCACAGAGGCTGAAACTGCCTTTGCGAAGAGTCTGACAGTGAGAATTCCAGCCCAGCGGACTCCAGGCTGCTTCTGGCCTCACGGGCTGTGGACTCCAGCCTGCTTCTGGCCTCACAGGCTGGCCATCCTCATTCCCAGGTGTAGGCCAAGCCAACCATGGGAGGAATTCTTTTTCTTCGAGACAGGGTCTCACTCTTTCATCCAGGCTGGAGGGCAGTGGCACGATCCCAGTTCACTGCAGCCTCAATCTCCTGGGTTCAAGGAATCCTCCCACCTCAGCCTCCAGGGTAGCTGGGACTACAGGTGCGTGCCAGCTAATTTTATTTTTATTTTTATTTTTTAGAGACAGAGTCTCCCTATGTTGCCCCGGCTGGTCTCAAACTCCTGGCCTCAAGCAGTCTTCCCACCTTGGCCTCCCAAAATGCTGAGATTACAGGCGTGAGCCACCATGCCTGGCCCATCATGAGAATTTAATTTATAGTTTAACTTTGAAGCAAAGTCAGTCACAGTGGTTCACACCTGTAATCCCAGCACTTTGGGAGGCTGAGATGGAAGGATTGCTTGGGCCAGGAGTTCAAGACAAGCCTGGGCAACATAGTGAGACCTTGTCTCTACAAAAAATAAAAATTAGCCAGGCATGATGCACACCTGTAGTCCCAACTCTTAAGGAGGCTAAGGTGGGAGGCTC